TAGTGTGTGTACCAGGTTATAGGATTATGCCATAATTTTATACTGATTTTCCTTATTTCAGTTCTATTACGAGTTCGGGGACGGTCTGTGATAGCCAAGTGAATATATACCCTGATCATATCGAATTGTAAATTATTCGAATCGGTCCAGATTCAGAGCAAAATTTCGAATCGCGTTTTTTTCTTTCCGCCAATGGTCGAGGTGAATTCACCATTTTTTTTATTGAAGATAAATTTTTTCAACGCATTTCTGACATATATGACTTTTTTCTGTATTGATCTATTGATGAAAAACGTGTTTTTTATTGTGTGGGCTCAGCAATCTGTCTGAGTGATGTATTCTATGTTTCCAGTAAATTACGTGTTGACAGGAACAATTTCTCATTGATTCCCAGATATTCGTGATTCGATTCGAAAAAAATATTCGATTCTCGAAATCATCAGATATTCGGAAATGTCCAACCCTACCCATAGGTTTCAGTACTTTTACACAACTTGATGTAAAGTAGGCAAACAAAATTAGTTACCCCCATTCCATATTGGTACACACACTTTTTGATCGCTTGCGATTCTTTTCTAACCTAAAACACGTGAAATTAAAGCATTGATTTGTTTCGAATGACACCCATGTGAAATAACTGTTTCGATTAGCTACAACGACATGCAAGCCAAATATGTACAAGAGGATTTGTTCAATCCAAGGAATGCCAGAAGTAGCATGCATTACAAAAATGGGTTGTAAAGTTTATCATATTGATGTTGGTTAGTTACAATAAACTAGTATTCTTACAAAGCCAACGACTAACAAAGCTGAATAAATTTATATATGATGTTCATGTTTGGCTTGTTCTGACAATAATGGCTATCGTGAGTCGATTAACGACCCAACGGTGGGTTGGAACTTTCAGTTTGAAGAGCCTCGATCTATGCAATGACATTAAACAACATGATAGGCAACTCTGACGTCACTCCATAAGACTACAGGCAAAACATTGTATTTCATGATACGCTCCAATGCACATATTTCTCGTCGCCTTTCGCGTCCGTTTTCCGCTCGCTTTTGCTACTCGGCGTCTTTTTTATGTGTTGTACCTGCCTTTTTGCGCCTGTAACGAAACAAAATAATCTCTATATCTAAGAAGTTTTGCTTACTTGGAAAGCTGGAATGGCAAGCTGGTAAAGAGCAATTCTGGACATCCAGTAGACGTTTTTTTTTATCAGAGAAAATTACAAACGCGATAGCGGAAAAATTTGTGTGGAACATTTGCAGATAATGACAAAGTTCAAAAGTTAGTAATTTTAATGTTTGCGCTTAATCATTGAAATTTCATTTAAAGAGGGTGTCATACAAAACTGTGCTGCGATACAATTCCATAACACAAAAGTTTGCAACCTATCGAACTTGTTTAGTAGGTGAATTTATTAGACAATATTACATATTCAGTTAATCGTAGGTAACATTACTGGTACATAAATGCCTCGTAGATAGGTTTGTGTCTAAATTTAGGAATTTAACTCATAGCCCGCTAATTAAATATTATCTTCTATGCAAGAGATTGCAGGGCTGATTCAACTTGCAGCCTTACCAATCACCTGACGATGCTCATTTAGATTGTCTCGAGCAAGTCTTCTTGAAAAGACTTGTGTGAATGGAGACTACCTTATATGCCTTCCTCCGATTTTAGAAGACAAATTCAATCTGAGGAATTTTGCATATAATTCTCATTGATTGTTGGCTGTTTAATAATTCCTATTAAATGTGAATTCTGATTATATCAAAGAGTTAAACATTTTTACGTAATTTACGGGCACTTTTTTCTGTCCAATACTCCAAGCTGAGTTAATAAGCAGAGAATACATTCATGTCATCTGAAAGCAAAATATACACACTAATTAAAAGTTTGACACATTGAGATAATACATCATGACAGAAAATACAAAGATACAGTATGTATGACCATCACATGGTAATTAAAATTAAAAAAAAAAAAATTAATAGAGGCTGTGGAGTAGGAAAAGTTCAAGACAAAGAAAAGAACAAAAGTTCATAGCTCATGAACTCTCAATTCTGCCTCCATTGCTTTGTGAAGGCCAATATATTCCGAGTGGCTGAATTGGTTTAACCTTTATGATAGCAACGGTTTTTGTATTTAATATAGCGAGATTTTTTTTCAATTTAATTGAAGTGATATTATTTCCCAAAGGAATGCTTGAATCGTCTAGAATCAGTGGTGTCAAACTCATGGGTTTTGAGAGCCGCATTGCATGTTGGAAATTGTAAAAGGGCCGCAAACAGTTTTTGATAATGTATACTCGAAGGATATTTTTCAGAATAGTTTTAGTTTGTGACATATATTGTGATGCAACTAATCAGTTGGATTAAGTTTTATTATTTTCTTTAATTTCAAAATGCAATTACATATTAATATTTGCATTCCACTATTATTGCAAGTTACTGTATTTATTACAAAAAATCATAAAATTCCATGTACAACCATCAAAATCATTTTTGAACAAGCCTTGGTTAAGGAAAGAATAAAATACACTAAAATGACTTAATCTAAATATATGAACCTAAAATTAACAAAAATACTACAGTAATAAACTCAATGTTTTTTTAATTACATTTGTCCTGACGTTTGGCATCTTCTTTGTGTCACCAGCATACTAAGGCCAGGCTGAAATGATTTTATAGTACCAACTCTAACTAACGAGGTCACATGATCATGGGTTAATCTGTATCTTTGCAAAAGTTTAATTAATTCCAGTAATGCAAAAAAGTTACTTTTATCATTTCATGTTAGATCGGTAAAAATAAAAATGACAGATTTTTTCGACAAGACATTTCACGCTACATTGCATGGCATAGGATTGCTTGAATTATTATTGATATTGATTTTTAGTAACTAAGTCGTTGTATATTTATATTAATATACAAACACATGGAAATTTTCTGTTCGGAGTTGGTCTTCGAATTTGTCATATTGACTGCTGAGCTTATTGTGTTTTTCATTGTACTGATGGAAATATGACAAATTTAACAATGTGCTTCAGAATTTTGTGAAATGCAGAAATATTGCAACTCCCATTTTCTTCGAAAATGCCACCTTCTTCGTGTACTTTAATTTAATCACTCAAGTGTTTTATTCAGTATTCTTTTGCTAGCTTGATGTGTATTCTTATTGAGTCAAAATGTGAACAAAAAAAATTAACTTTCTAAAACTACTTTCAGTAAATTGTTTTCTGTGTGAATATTCAATTTCACTTTAAAAGGTTTGAAAAATCTTTTACATTTAAATAAAAAAAAATTCCAAAATACTATTACAATTATTGTTAAGCGTTCGAGGGCCGCACTGGAAGTTCTCTGGGGCCGGCGAGTTTGACATCCCTGGTCTAGATTGAAGTTGTCCTAAAATATATAACATTATTTTATCATGATCATGATTATACCCTTTCCTGATTTCTTCTATAGTACTACCAAAATTTGATGAACCAAATATAACACAGGTGTAGTCAGTGAACCGTAATCCTCATTTTTCAAAGCTGTTTTTAAGTATGTCTGGCATGTTTTGTGCCTTTTTACAAAGAAGACCGCTTATGCAATCTTACGCTTTGGAATTTTAGTTATTTCCCTCAAGCCCTGCAGGATGTAGGGGCCATACACAACTTTACCGGAGGGTCAATGTCTTTGCATTCCTCCATAGGTTGTTCTTCTATTGCAACATTTATGGAGTATTCTAATCATATTTCTTGGAATCAACTGTCACTGATATGTCGCCAGACTTCTGATATCTCCCCTTCAGCTACAGTTGTCCTGTGAATAAATAATAGGAAATTGAGGTTAGACGAATAGTTGAAAGTTTTGTTTTATGTCGGCCTAATTTCTTGATTGATATACTACTATTATTGCTATTGCCTCTTGTGCTGCAGGAGTCTCACAATGCTTAGACAGGTCTGTCCACAACTTTCACATCTGTAGGAGAGGAGATGTATAATTTTCGTTAAGAATCAATAAAGCAGTCTATATGATTCAGAATGGAAAAGCTAATAAACCCAATATCTTATGTTTTTTGTAAAAAATGTTTTACTGGATTTGGTATATAAACCAACTAAATAAAGGGGTTAGTCAGAAAATTATAAGCATTCGTGGCTCCAAATACTTGAGAGATCAGACTATACAATATAGACCGGTATGAGTGAAATTTTAGGTGAACTTGTTTAACCCGTTGATTCACATACGCAAATAAAAGTGAATGAGCAATAGTATGTTACAGCAATAAGTATATATCCTCACTGATTAAAAAAATCTAAATGGAGGTGCATGAACTATTGAAACCATAAGGGGTAAGTAAATATGCAATTTCGGCAGATGGCCCAACTACGTACCGTACTGAATTATAAACTTCGTAGTATTTGACAAAAGCTGGCTTTCCCGCATGTACTCAACAGTGCGATGCCCGGGTGTGATATACAACAATAGTATTTACCTTACTTTTTTCCGATTTCTTTTTACCTTCAATTTTCCACATATCATTAAAAACCACAACAATTGTCGAAGCAGGCTCGACACCATTCGTGCTATGCCTTGAAAGCAACACACATCCGCTCGTTTTCGTCTCGTCAAGTATGTGCATTGGAGCGTGCTATCGAATACGATCTTCGGCCAAAAATGCCGGAGTTGCGCATCATGTTGTTTAATGTCATTGATCTATGTGTCCAATGATATTATAGCTAACATCTAAAATCCCAATTTTATAGCTAGATCTTGAACGAAACATCTTGATCTAGCTATAAAACATCTAAAAAAGTGGCAGACGTAGTGCAAATTCACCGCCAGAAAATCGCCGTTGCGTAACCTAAATGAAAACCAAAGTGACCAAAGGTTTATAGTCACTTTGATGAAAACGCTTAATGAAGACCAGAAAAACGAGAGAGCAGGAGCGCAGAGCAATGAAGGCACAGCGAAGTAAATGGCACGGTAGTCAGATTTTGCAGAGAGAAGATGGAAGAAATGCCGCGTTCTCAGTTACCTCGCTGTTATTGCAATGTCAGAATGTTAGGGAGGTGGGACTCTTTGGCGGAAGGGAAGGTGATCTACAGATATAGGCGCTTAGGTTAACATTCGGACTTAGTATCATAACTTCAGTGGCCTACAATATCTTAATATACTTTATTTTATAAGTTTATATTATATTGATATAACTTAACAGTAGACTCCATAACAGATATGAAAAAGCCTATACTATATTGAGTCATTCATTGGTACCGTAATCTTTTCATGCTAATATCATCATAATATTGTTGATTCATGATAAACTATGAGCTGATCAGGCTTTGGTCACATACAAAGAATATCTGCATATGTACCGGTATAGCAGTATCGAGTGTACCTATACTATGAGATATGACGTTCTGACGTTAGACTACCCATAAACAAAGAAGGGTTAAACTCTTATTTTCGTTTCAGTGGATATGTTACCTTGTTTTGTAAGGTATATTATCTGAATATTGAATGTTTGAAAGGATCTGGTACCATATCAGTGTATCGAGAGAAGAGAGTCATTGCTGTACAGAAATCTCTCTGTTATGTCAATAAAGCTGCTTTAAAGACGATAGGCTGGAAAGTGTCATATCTACTCAAGGTGGACAGACGGGACAGTGAAGCTGTGAAGTACCAAATGTCTTGTCAGGATTTACAGAATTTGAATTGCGAAGATGGTCTTTGGCTCATACAGAGCGACGAATTTGTTCCATCTAGTGACTCGGATAATGACAATCTAACAGAGTCAGACCTGTCTGACGAGGCAGAGGAGATAGAGTCAGATGACCTGGAGTGGAGTGAAGATGAAGGTTTGTAATAGTTTTATCATTGCACTTTCATTTCCACAATTTCATAGGCCTAGTTGATCTCTCAATTCTTGAAAATGGATTTGCATCAAAAAAATTCTTGGTTAATAAATTATTTTGAAGATTTTCTCCATTCACTGTTTACTGGTTTCATGACCTTGTCTTAGGATATAATTTACATATTCATTCCGGGGAAGAGAAAAGTCAACAAGCCGACTTAATAATATGGTGTGCTATGGCCTCTTGTCTGGTTACCAGTCCATGTCATGTATGGGATAAGACGATTAGTTAGCCAATTGTGAGTGTCATGAAACACTAACTTAATTTTATAGACAGATAGATGTGAATTTTAAAATCAATCCAGATGAAATTGACTTCAAAGTAGTATGGTCTATTATCTGATTATAGTGTAATGAGAACACTCGTGGGCCGTGGCCTTTCATCTGGCCCTTGGCGACCCTTCATCTGGCCTGCGATAACACAAAAAAAAGGCGAAATTTTTTCCCACAAATGTTTCCCAGAGCATGGACTTCCTTGTTTATTTCGTAACATTGGCCAATCAGCAAGATGCAAAAAGTGACGTGACAATAAGCCTTTTCGCATCCACTCAGACACTTTTTCCACTCAGACAGATCGAATATGCATTTTGCGCTAATAGTACAACTGTACAAGTCACATTAAATTTGAGTTATACCTGGCCCGCGGTCAAAAAAGTTTGGTGACCCCTGGCTTGAAGGCATTTATATGCTGTGTGTTCTTGTTTTGAATATTCTGCATTCTGTAATAGGTGCAGTTGATATGAACACATACCTCAACAATGTCATTGCAATATTAAAAATGATAAAACTTACTTTTTACGGTTCCATTACATTTGAACCCACGTACATTTGAACCCATGACAATTGTACCTGTATGCTATTGCACCTATGAAATTTTTTTTGTTTCACGGATAGTTAAACCCATACTAACCCTAACCCATGGGTTTTAGCACCCGCATATAGATTGAACCCGTGGATATACGCATGGGTTCAAATGTACATGGGTTCAAATGTACGGTCATCACTTTTTACTATTGTTTTTTACATACTTCATCATTCTACTGAATTTCTTGTGGCCACATTTTATATGTAAATTTCCTAGATTTTATACCTGTATGGTGTGTTTATTCGCTTTTCGGATTGTTTATTAATAGGTCTCATAGATTTTTTGAATAACAAAATAATTATCAACAGTAATTTGGACTTACACATTTTTCCATAAAGGCATGACCCTACTCGAATTATCATTTAATAAAGGATTTTTAAAGCCCAGCAACATGTTTTTTCCTGCCAATTTGGGTAATACAAGTAAAAGATTTTATCATTATCATTGCAAAAAAAGGTAAATGACGTCCGACTCCTCACTCTAGTACTATATTTAGTTTGATTTTCAATCTTGTATGACCCAATGTTAAACTATTCATAAGTGTCGCTGCTCGATAACCAATGCTGGTTTATCGCGTCCCCTTTCACCCTGAGATGCATTATTTTCCTCTCTTTCCTTATCTTGTTCTGTTTGTACAGTGTGTATTTCTTATATGGTGATAAAATAAATTACTGATTACTGATAAATGAATTTTAACAAAAACTTCCATGGAAAATAATGCCAAATTTACATTGTGATTTTCGAAGCCCAGCAAGCAGCATGTTGACCTGGTCAGTGGGGAATAATTTTATCATCTTAAATGAAAAAGCTCATAAACATTGCAAAGATCAATCATGTCAATTTCTCACTTCAATTTCTTGTTCCACAAGAATGACATCATTTCACATTTTAGCGATTTTAGTGTTTTCAAATCTCAGCAAACTGTTTCGCCTAGGAATCATTAACATTGCAAGGATATTTATAATATTACGACTTTGAGTATTCACATAATATCACTTTATTATTTTTAAAGACCAGCAGCAATTTTATTTTTATTTTAGGTAAAATATCTCACCATGAGCACTGCAGAAAAATTTGAATGAGGTTTAATAAAAATTTAAAATCATATCACGTTTTCACTTCAATTAAAGTGGTCTTTTGGTGGACATACAACCTTGTGGTTTTCAAAGTCTAGCAACAAGTTTTTCTCGCAAGGCGGAGCATAATTTATCATTTGAAAAATCTCATTTATCACTTTAAATTGTGATTATCTCCCCATATGTTTATTATTTTAGGTATTGATATAATGTTCCCAAGTAATGTGAATTTCAATGAATTTCTACAATACATATAAGATATAACCCCAAGTCCCCAACCATCTCAGGCTTGAATTTTGCTCTCCAAAAGCCAAAATTATGGCAATGTAATTGTGTCTTATGGTATCTCACTATGTTATATTAGCCATCCGGAATAATGCTATGTTCAAGTTATTTGGGTCACCTGATACTTACCTGATAAATAGCTTTATATTATCAAAAGTGTTAAGTGGTTAAAAATGCGCTTTTCTTATGTGCTATTAATAACCAAACAAGAAATTCATAGCATGTTTATGGACTTTTTATACTTCGAGCTTAATTATAAAGTATGATGACGGAAATTGAAGCTGATTGATAGACTAGAAAATTGTTGTTTCAATTCATTTAGTATGTATCAAACGATTTCTAACAATACCCTTTATTTGAGGTAATTTTGCTCGTGACTTTGGCCTCCTTTTGAACTTGTTGGAAGATGAAAGAGCGCTGATATGATAACGCTTGCTATTTTGCGGATATATTTAGGTTATGCTCTCGTCGGCGTAACTTGTTTATTTAGACAGTGAAGTGTGAACAGCGATATTATATCGGTAAATTATATTTTGCAAAATTCTTTTACACCGTGGGTATCACATGTTACGCCTTGTGTCAGCTCAGGACGCCTTTTAATTTTTTTTTTCGCCTGGAATTGTGTGTCCAGTGTTGAAAACTCGCTAGCATGCGATCATCGGACGCGAGTCAGTAAAAGCAATTTAAGGAGTGGGCCCACAACTCAAATTCTGTTATTTTAGACACTGTTAATCGCTAAAATTTCGCACACATTATGCTAAGTTGGTAACTATGCTACAGCCACTAAATTACAACAGTCAATCCTGCGCGAGATGTCAAATCTTATCTACGCTTAAGTAACCACAGGGGCCCCGCTTCGACACTTTTTCGGGTTATGATGGAGATATAATTATGAGCCAATTAATGTAAAATATGTTCAATCAATTTTTTATTTTATCATCATAGATTGTACTCGTATTTTATCGCGGATCTTGGGGATAAAAATACGAATCAATACTAAATATAATCGTCCAGTTTCAGAAGTTTAGAATAGTAATGCTTATTTCGACGCAACAGCGAATTACTTGAAAACAATTTAGAAACCCAAACAACATGCAGCTACAGTTTGAAAAACTTCACGAATCTCTATAGGCCTAACTTAGGCCGCCTATGATGAAATTTCTTCTTCAGGCAATTTCCTTCAGATTTGCAATTACATCAGAAGTCTACTTAATTGTGAGTATTGTTCAAATCTATTTAACAACGTGACTTTCAAATCTTATCTTCGGAAATCGCAAAATAGCTGTATGTGTTAAGCAAGGTAATTTCGCCATAAAGCTTATGTCACTATATTCCATTTACACATACCGGTACTCCCATTTTTAGAAAACACGCTTTAACGGACAATATTTCATTCCGAAATTACTTCAATTTTTAAATCAGTTTCCCGTCTTTTCCAATTATTCTGCGATAACCCAACTTTAAAAAAAATATATATAATCAGGCCTTATATATTTTCCAGTAGCGACGAGTACACCATCAGGATCTCCACGATTTCGAAATCACCGAAAACAAGACGAATGGGAAACACCGCCCAGCGCCAAAAAAGGCCGCCACTCGCTTTTATATAGTAAACGTCCGGTGTACAACTGGGAAAAATCGTTTAAAGGAAGATCAATCAAGCAATTCGGCGGTCAACGAGGAGTAACCACCCGCCAACTAACTCAGACGTCTACTCCCATCGACTGTTTCTCACAATTTTTCAACTCCACAGTACTTCAGTTCATCGTCGACATGACAAATCTCAACGCTGTTCGGAAAATACACGGTGAGGACCTTGTTTGGGTATTGCCGTGCTATTCAATCGATACAATTTGTTGAAAAAACTAATAGATATATCAGGCTGTAGATCGTCGTATAACTTGATAGTGTGGTTCTCAAATGGTGGGCGCTCGCCACAAGGTTAGCGTAGACACGTTTTTGAGGGGCATGAAGCTAATTAAAATAGAAATATATGTTAGATTCGATCTAGTCCACCTATTTTGCATATTTACATTTCTGATATCCAAACTCATCTTCAGTAACTGAGAAGTGGATTTGAAATTTACTTCTATTTCCCTGACCTTGATAATAATGAACTCGCCTGGAAACTTAAAATAAATCCATTCCTTATCATCAAGGCTATTCTGCCTGAAAACTGTCAAGATAAATTCTTAGTGACAAAATTCCAATGCTAATGACGCCTTTTGGACAATGTCAGTCATCGAATTCTGGGGTAAATATGCGCAAGTGTACAAAAATGTGGGTAATATTGCTCTGCGAATGTCAATGCCATTTTCATTAACGTATTCATGCGATATCGGTTTTCCACACTTGTAAACGCGGGCAAAAGCCGAGAACCAGCAGCTTACCTGCGAAAACAATTTACAATGCGAATTAAAAACCACAAAACCTTGATTTTGATATCTTGTCTCATGTCTGCCGAAAAGACTGCACTAATAAAATAGCAACAAATTATGCTTGCTTTAAAACTTTTTGTTTACGGTATTTCATTATTTACGTCCCATCCACGTGTTTGTTGAATAAAACATGCCTTATCTGTTATTCGTATCTTATTGTTAGCTAGTTATTTTTGAGGTGGGGCGCGGGACTTGACAAATTCTAATAAAAAGGGGTGCGGCTTAATAAGCTTGAGTACTACTGTTTTATACCGAATAGGCATTTAAATATTCTATTCGTTCACACTTTGTTTTTTTTTTACCATAGGGCGGTCTGTTGACAAGAATTCTCAAGAAAAAGCATGGAGAGCTGTCGATGTCGAGGAAATGAAAGCTTTCATTGGCTTGCTTATTGCAATGGGCATAATTCGTCTTCCAAATCTTCATATGTACTGGCAAAAGAAGAATTGGGTATTCGATGTGCCTAGTTTCAACAAAATTATGCCAAGAGACCGATTCATTGATTTGTATACATATCTTCATTTTTGTGACGAAGCGTTGGCGCATAGATCCGATGATCAGAAAAAAGACAAGTTGTTCAAAATTCGTGGATTGTTGTCGCTTGTATTGCCCTTGTTTCAAAGCTGCTACACGCCGGGCAGAGACATTGCAATTGACGAAACTTTAATTCCATTCAAGGGCAAGATTAGTTTTCGTCAAACCATAAAAACGAAAAGGGCGCGGACTGGAATCAAGGTTTGGGTGTTGGCCGAATCTTTAACAGGATATGTGTCAAGGCTTCAAATTTATACCGGCAGGGATCCGACAGCAGGCAAAGAAACAGGACTGGCCACGCGGGTGGTAAAGTATTTGATCAATCCGTATGAGGGATTGCATCATCATCTGTATGTCGATAATTTTTATACTAGCGCGGAACTTTTTGAATACCTTCTTTCAAAAGGTGTTTACGCTTGTGGAACTTCCAAATGTAATGCTGCGAGCTTTCCAAAGGAGCTCATTGTGACGCAGGCGAGAGAAATACCCAGAGGCACAAGCGACTGGCGAATGTGCGGACAATTACTTGCACAATCATGGGTCGATAATAGAATGGTCTATTTTTTGTCCATGATCCATAAGCCGGAATATGATTCGAACGATGACGGGGAAAATACTGTGATAAGGAGAGGCAAACGTGGTCGTACATCAAGTTTTGTTAAAATACCATGTCCGCCTCTGCTCAAAGACTACAATAAGTACATGATCGGTGTGGATTTGTCAGATCAAATGCGGAAGTACTATAATTTAACAAGGCGATCGAAGGTTTGGTATCGCAGAGTATTTTCGTATATACTGGAAGTAGCTGTACATAATGCCAGGGTTGTTTTTGAAAACCTTACAGGACAGAGATGTGAGGGAGTGGGGTTTAGAATGGAGCTAGTTGTCGCTCTTATTGGAAGTCTTAGAGCTGGACGAAGGCCTGGAGTTCTGACACCTGCATCAATAACGAGACTGCACAATGCGGGATCTCACTTTCCGATACCCGGCGGTCGACTAAAGACTTGCCGAGTTTGCTCAAAAAAAAGTCGGGTATCGGCTACCACTGGAAAAAGCACCATTTCAAGAAGCTCCGTGAAATGCAGCTATTGTGACGTTCATCTTTGTGTTCGCGAAAACAGGTCCTGCTTCCGTGATTGGCACACAAAGGTTGAGTATTGGAGATGAGATTTTCTTTTTTTCTATCAAGTATTCATTACTGCGAAGTAGGCTTGCACGTAATTTACGGAATTACGGAATTACGTAATTATTTTGAGTTACGGAAGGGAAGTTACGAATTCCGTAAAGTCGTAATTATTGCATTGAAACGAGCTTTCTTCAAAGCAGTCAATTTCGTCGATTGCGAAAAATGAAAGCTCAACAAGTAGAAAGTTAGAAGTTCCGGTATTCGCAGCCGTTTTTCTCTCTCTTGTTACGTAGGTGAAGGAGGGCATGACGCGTTGCCATTCACTAACCTATTATCAAACTTCTCTGGCATGGCCAATGTAAATTATTAACGTAGTTAAGGGGAAGAACTGAGTAGGGCCGTTTGACGCCAACATCCTGGTTTTAACTTCTCCCGTAACTTAACCGGTAAATAAGGGATAGAATTGCGTTTGGAGACGTTTGACGCCAACACACCTGGTTTTAAACTTCTCCCGTAACTTAACCGTAGATAAGGGATAGAATTGCGTTAGACCGATTGACGCCAACACACCTGGTTTCAACTTCTCTCGCATCTTTATCTAGCATGGCCATGGCCAATGTACATAATAACCGTAGATAGGGGGAAGAATTGTGTTAAGACCGATGGACGCTAACACGCCCGGTTTCAACTTCTTCGGGTGAAATGACTAATGAACGCAGGAGATCAATCTTTCAACATGGTCTATCAAACATTTGTATCCATTTTACTTTTATTTATTATTTACTTGTTCCAGTTTTTCCGTTACTTATGGTATATTATGGTTCCGTTTCTATTTCATTTTATTTTATAGTCCACGCGTTTAAATAGTGGGAATTCCCCACCAAGTGTGGATTAGCAATGCTTAACCATTCTTTAATGTTAATATCAACAACTTGATATATGAAAGAGGAGAGAGAGATTTTATTATTTCGTCAACCAAAAACGTAAAAATAGTCATCAGTAAAATAGCACTAGCAAAAAAATTTTTTTTTTGGTATGGACAGGAGGAAGCGATTACGACCATACGGTCATCGAAAGTCAGCTCCCACCATATATGCTGATTTTATTAAGATAACACTGAAAGATGACCAGTGACAAAACTACTTAAACTATTACATTAATATTTTACAATAAAATTCTGAATAAAATTAGGAGACTCGTGGGTAAAATGCATTGTTATGAGTATTTTTAAAAGAAAGAAAATAGAAGAAAACAAAAAAGGAAGGGGGGTGTCCTATGTTAATCTAAAGCGACCAGAATAATGCTATGGAAATTTAATATTTAGCTGAAAACTAAATTACTAAATTCATAAATTCAATTGGGCTTGAAACGATAATAAATAGAAATAATAATAATTGGATATATATAAACAGTGGATCAGGGACAAAATTTTAATGTGACGAGAATGTGAAAAATATTTTAGTGCAACTTAGTGATACATACACAGTATTAGGAAAGTAAATAACAAAAACATGAAAATATTAATTGAACTCCCGTAGTATGTGTACCATGTTTGGGCCAGACCCAAATCCTATCCAGACCTTCTTTATCTTAGTTCCATCAAGGGCTTGGGAGCAAATGAGTTTCTTTCCAAACAGGACTCAGTCACCTCATATAACCCGATGGTAAAGCAGGCCGAACAAAAACCAGTTACCCGCCCACTGGTAACACATACTACTACATACATTAATTAATCACAACACATAGCAATATCATATACACCAAAATATATGAAAAAAGCACCATTCCATTGATCAACAATAGCAATGATAGTAATTAAATAAACACTGGTATGGTGAAAGGACCTTGACACAAACCTGCAACAATGTAGAGCAGTAAGTTGTGTGTATTGAGAAGAAATATTACAAGTGATTTGAGCTATGGAGTGGAAGTTATCCATTACACAACACAACTAAAAATACGAATATAGTCAGGAATGACTGAAATGCAGGGTAAAAGTAATTGGAATTGCACAATCAATTTGGCTAAGAGATTTAACATTATTCAATTATGACAAGTGCAACTGCAGCAACATATACCGTAATGAAAATTGAGCAATTAGAGGAAACTTTGTTCCAAAAAATCTCGAAATATAATAATAGATACCACACATAACTGATAACATTTGAATTGAACAACAATGATAGTAACTATTAAGTGACAAACAATTGTGATGTAGAGATGAAATTTGACATTTTGGTAAATTCCATTCTTGCAAGTAATGAAAATAAAGAGCATCATTGGGAAAGTTAACTATGAAAAGTACATAATGCTAAAAGCAGTCAAATTTTATCAGGTAACAATATAAGGGTTTACGCCTACGTAACACTATACCTCATATTAATGTCAAAAAGTACAAATGCTGAATAGTTTATAGTTTGGCTTATGATAGAAAACTGTTGGTGTTACATGCAAGCCAACTCATGTACTATATATAGCTATCCAATCAGAGGAAATTAAATTTCTATATAGAAAAGAGCTGACTTAATAGATTATATTTGCAAAAGATAAAGATGCAAATCGTGAGTGAAATAGTTATTAAGATGCAAAAAAAAAAAAAAAAAAAAAAATACAGAAAAATATATCCCTACACATATTATTTTATTTATGAGATACTCATATACTTATATTTTGAAACAGCTATAAGACGAATCTATGATTTCATTGGGAATAGAGTTCCAAATACTTGGACCAGTAATTTAATGGAGTCGCGGGCCAGACTGGAACTTGTCCGACTAACAAAATATGCTCCTCTACCCGCTAAACGAGTGTTGTTATTGGTGGACATTACTACAATTTGTGAATAGCTATCGAAAATTTCAGGCAGAATTCCATGTTTAAATTGAAACATGATTTTCGCTATTTCGAATTTATATACATCAGCTACTGTAAGAAATTCATCTTTTTATAACTGGACTTATTCTCTCACGAAAACGAGTACCCACTCATTAACTTACTGCACGATTTTGAAGTATTCTAATCCTATCCATAATAAGTCTTAGGGGCAGAACCCCATGCCACAATTCCATATTGAAGATGTGAGTAAATAGAGCGAAATATACGGTTCTTAATACCTTTTCAGATACAAACGGTCTCAGTTTAGACATAGCACTATGGCTCTGGACAGCCTACCTGCAAGTTGATTAATATGCCTATGCCAGTTTAGCTTACTTGTCTAGAATAACTCCAAGATATTTGACAGAGTCACAGATACTAAGTAATGAAGTCGTTTAGTATAAATTTTGGAGTGAGGTTCGAATTTTAAGGCTTTTTGCTACAATTAATCAATAAAACTTGGGATTTACTAGGATTGACAAGTTAGCTTGAGTTTTTAATTAGCCAATTCTGATATACAATAGAGATCCCCTATTAACTATTTTTCTAGGTCGGACAGATTTTTTTGCAGCAAAGTAGCACTAGTATCATCAGCGAAAAGTTTAATTGGAGCCTAATGGCATTGACAATATCATTTAACATGAATTTAAAAAAAGGGTAGGCCCAGAACTGAGCCCTGGGGGACCCCTACCGACACCTTTTCATTTATCGATTGGACACCAACAAACTACAATGACGTCTATTTTGCAAATAACTTTTGAACAATTTAATTGGCTACTCCCCCGAATTCCATAGTGATTAAGTTTTGTAATTAAGATATCATGATCCACTGTATCGAATGCTTTTTTCAAATCCAGAAATACACTACAACCTAATGAGCCTTCATCTATAACGTTATAGTAATGGCTGATAATATCTAATATAGCATGTGAAGTGCAATGTCCATCCCTAAAGCCAAATTGGTCCTATTTAGAATTGAGTTTTTGTCCAAAAAAGATTTCAGTCTCTTTAGTAATACTTTCTCATAAAGAATTGAAAGACAAGACAGTACCGAGATGGGGCGATAATTTGACACGGTTTCCTTATTTCCAGATTTGTAAACCGGTACAACTCTGGCAACCTTCAAATGCCTGGGAAAAATACCCAGGGTCATGGAGATGTTGAAAAGATTACACAGGGTTGGACTAATGATGGTCTTTAAAATTTTAATCAAATAGACCGGAACGCGGTCGTGACCTTCTGCTTTACCAGTCGCAAGCGTGGAAATAAGCATTTCAATTTCGTTGGTGGTGGTGGGCTCTAGATACATTGAAGATTTAATGGGTTGCTTTAAATATTTCATAAAATCGTAATTGCTGTTTGAAAAAGCTGAGGCAAGCGTCGGCCCAATCTGGGAAAAATAATTATTAAAAACATTACAAATGTCAACTGGATCTTCAGTTGATTTATTAAGAGTCTCATCACGCAGAGTGTTCGGATGATTTTTTTTTAATTTTTTATTATGATTGAGTTAATGGTATTCCATGTCATTTTCGAATCGTTCCTATACTTATCGAAACATTTTGCAAAGTAATCCTCCTTTGCTCTATTTTTAATATGAGAGAGAGTGTTGGAATATTTCTTATATTGGCGTTTTTCAATATCAGTGCCATTTAAAAATAAAGTTTTATGTAATTTATCTCGTTTTTTTGCAGACCGTAATATTCCAGGTGTAATCCATGGTTTTTGCTTCAATCGACGTTCCTTTCTACTAACTTTTTTCAAGGGGGCATATTTATCAATTAAATTTCTTAGTCGGTTGACAGATTCATTAAAAACTATGTCATAATCATCAGCTCCTACCTCAGTACTCAACATGTCATTTCTAAAATAAACTGGGCATCAGTTAAAAATTGGTCAAGATTAAAATGTTTCATGTCCCGTTTCAATTCCGAAACATGCCTGGGGCGTACATAATTCATCTCAAGATGGCAAAAAATAGGAAAATGATCTGTCAGATTATCATGCAAAACAATTGGTTTAATATTTTTATCTATAATATTTGTATACATATGATCAAGTAAATTAGCAGTATTACTTGTCACTCTTGTGGGAAGCGTAATCAATGGAATTGTGGCATGGGATTGAAGCATTTCTAGGTACTGCTTCGTAAAGTTGGAATTTTCATGGAGGTTGATGTTTATATCACCAACTATAAAAAAAAATTTCTTATCATGAGTTAAATTATGAAGACTATTTTGTAGCTTATATGAGAACTCCTGATGATCCGAGTTGGGGTGGCGATAGATTATACCCACAGTCAAAGAATAGGGTTTGGCTGTTCTAATAGGAACCTCAACCCAGAGTTCTTCACATCCAGCAACATTTAGGTAATAATCCTCAATAAAGTTAGGAGAGAAATAAGTCTTTATATATAAGCCAACACCGCCAGCATTTGTACTAGATGGTGTATGATAGAAATCGTAGCCATCTAAATTAATATTAGTTACAGGATCGGATTTTAGTTTGGTTTCAGAAATAGCTATGAAGGATGGAGATGAACCTAGGTCATATACAAGTCTTGACAGCTCATCAATATTTTTTTGGATGGATCGAATGTTTAAATGGGCAATAACCAAGGAATTCTTTTTCAGTTGGGTGAAAGTAGTTAATAAGTCATTTCGCTCATTCATAGAGACACAGTTTGCAACATTTTCAAACTCAAAATCACTAGTATTTAAAACTTTTTGTTGTACTTCCCTCTTATTTGGATCAGTACTATCATCAAAGGGTATTTGGTCAGAATTGGTGCAGCAATAGTGAGTTGCACCAGGACTAATGTTGGGATAATATTTGGAAAAACATGAAATATGGATTCTGGAATAGCATATATCACAGGGGATAAAATTATTTAAACACGGCTTATCACATAGAGAACACAAATTCAAAAGAGCCATTTTTGGCAATAATATGACAAATGAAACCTACTTGAAAAAAGATGATTACTTCAGGTTTTCAATATCAGACAGCTTTGTGATTGGGACTCTTGGGGCATCTTTGTTCTTCCTCATATAAATATTACCATTGGTTGTCCAGAGCCGTTCATAGTTATTTGATTTTCTTGATTTGCGGCATTATATAAGAGGTTATTCCTGAATTCTGTTAAATTTTCATTAATGAAAAGCGATTTCATTCCTTGTATCCCAAAATTTCCGATGCTGGATATATTACGTTTTCTATCAATAAATTCGTTCCTTTTGTTTCTATTCGTGAACCTGACAATTATGGGGGGATCTTTGATTTGTCTCTTCGAGGTAGTCTATGAGAGATTGAGATGTCAAGCCTTTCCACATTTATCTTTAGCAGTTTTCCTATTTTTATTATAAGTTCATCAGTATTTTCATCTTCTGAGTAGGGTATACCATGAAATTCCAAATTTTCACGTCGTACGTATTGGGCCAAATCTTCAAAATCCTTGTCGAACCTTTTTTGCAGAGATGATATGAGTTCTTTAAGTGCTTTATTAGAGGCTGACAACTCTTCGATTTTGCGATGAAGATCAGATAGGTAATCTTTTTGTATCTCGAATTCAGCATTAATAAAATTTTGACTTGCATGCACCATCTGCACATCTTGCTGAAGAGTGGTATTCGTGGCATGAATCCCATTCATGTCCTCCCTGAGTGAATCAACCTTATTCACAAGACTATCGGTCTGCTTGAACATGGTCTCGAGCCTTTCAGCCATTTGCTGGGTGTTATTCAGCACAGATTCATCTATCTGGATTGAGATTTTCCTATCATGCTCATTGATTGATTCTTCTAAAAGGTCTTTAAGGCTATCTTCCACTATTGCCTTTATCTCAATCTTCAAGTTATTGGTGATTCTCTTTTCCATTAATTCCAGTTTACTTGTTAGCTGAGCAAACTTTCCCTCCATTTTCAGATTGTATTCAGTACAGTTATAATAAATTATTGTAAGTTAAGTTAGTTATTAGCAAATCTTAAACAGGGAATAATGGAATCATGGAATATCATACTGTTTTTGGCTGTTTTATTTCAGACTTGGGGTATAAACAAGAAAATATCCATAACCGTTCAACACGACGATTTTGTGAAATTTAACGAAGAGCTTTCGCGACGAATTGGAACCAAATAAGCCAAAAGAGCGATTGATCACTCGCGCCAATACCTCGCCGTGATAATTAATGTCGCGCTTATCAAATCGCAATATGACGACAAAAGAGAGATTGCGTAATGAACCAACGCAACTTCGTCTTCTCGGCATCGGTAAAGCGATTGAGACGGCAGAGAAACAGCAAAACGACGGATTCCTCGCGGACCGCAAAAAAATTTAACTGCTATCATATATAATCAAATATGAGCCAGTGTGTTTATTCTGTGCGAGATCCATTTGCTATTACAAAATCTTGATGTTCTGTTAACGGTTTTATCGTTATATATCAGTCCGGACTTGGTCTTGCGCATGATGTTTTTCACAATTCCTCTCAATATTTCGGCCATATATGATTAACTGTCTTACCAAATGCGGCAACTTATTTTGATTTATCGTCTACTTGAATACCACAGGCACTCGACACCAAACTTGTGTCAATCTTGGCCGATAGGATCGCCGACTTGAGTTAGCAAATAAATGTCGTGGGTGTGAAATAAATGTCACAAAATGCATTGTTTTGCGATATAACTTTTGTATTTTCGGAGAAGGCATATCATATAAGTTCGATATTTAAATTATACTCAAATAAATAATATTTAATCTAAATTTATCGCAAATAATGTTTTAAACATTCAGTCCGCGAAATGATTAAATGTAAAATGAAGCATGGTAATCGGAATATCGTCAATAAGTCCACATCAATAATTATTATTATAAAATGCTAACAAGGCAGTAATGTCGGATAATGCAGAAGAATCTGCAAAACAAGTCTTCGTCGCGAGGAAATCGCAAGTATAATCAAATGAGTGAATACGCTCGTCGTTGGTTAATAAATTAGAAACCCTTAATTTTTATTCAGTACTAAGGTGGTTTTAAAAAACTATCGTTTCCATAAATAACCGTATACCAGTGTCGGTAATGATAAAATAAAATTGATCGCATAAAAATGGGACGGTTAATTTGCGAAGGTGATAAAGGAAAACCAAAGCTAACACAAAAGATAAAAATCAGAATAAAATTAATTTGAATTCACTCCTTGATATTTGTCTTTAACATCTGCCGATGGCGTGTAGTACTGCCAAGAATATGAAAACCCAACTTCAATGTCCCATTCGGAAAAGAAGTGGATTCCATTGGTTGTTATGATAGGTTTGAATGCGTGGAAAAATATCGCAATTACGGGGTCATTACGTAATTGATTTTGCCGTAATTACGGAATTGATTTTTGTCAATTACGTGCAAGCCTACTGCGAAGCACACGGGTGAGGGCATATATGGAGAAGTTCTTACACGATGTTCGTCTTTTCGATCCGCGATGAACAATTGTCTAATGAAAATAAAATTGGTGCTTTTATTCACTCCCGTGTCGGGTATAAGCGTGCGGTGCTTTGGAAAAAGTGAAGCACTATTTGAAATCCTAAAAAAAATGGGGACAAATATCGAAGCGTTGACAACCACAAGTTGAGCACATATACAAGTTGACCAGTAAATTTATAACTACTATTGTAATATGGTAACCGTTGTATGCTGTACGAGTTGATCTACTAGTGAAATAGTTTGAAAAGTATCATTGTCGCTATCAAATTATGAAAAATCTTTATAAAATCCGCGAGTGCTGACTAGTGGCTATTTGGGTGTGGGGACGACAATTTTGAGAAGAATTATGAAAAATCTTTATAAAATCCGCGAGTGCTGACTAGTGGCTATTTGGGTGTGGGGACGACAATTTTGAGAAGAATTATGAAAAATCTTTCTAAAATCCGCGAGTGCTGACTAGGGGCTATTTGGGTGTGGGGACGACAATTTTGAGAAGAATTATGAAAAATCTTTATAAAATCCGCGAGTGCTGACTAGGGGCTATTTGGGTGTGGGGACGACAATTTTGAGAAGAATTATGAAAAATCTTTATAAAATCCGCGAGTGCTGACTAGTGGCTATTTGGGTGTGGGGACGACAATTTTGAGAAGAATTATGAAAAATCTTTATAACATCCGCGAGTGCTGACTAGTGGCTATTTGGGTGTGGGGACGACAATTTTGAGAAGAATTATGAAAAATCTTTATAAAATCCGCGAGTGCTGACTAGTGGCTATTTGGGTGTGGGGACGACAATTTTGAGAAGAATTATGAAAAATCTTTATAAAATCCGCGAGTGCTGACTAGGGGCTATTTGGGTGTGGGGACGACAATTTTGAGAAGAATTGATCAAGTGACGCAGTGAAGCTCTTCAAAAATCAAAAATGTTTGTCAACCAATTCGGGTTGCAATGCAGCCAACATTCCTCCATATTTCATTTAAAATGGGAGTTTCTTCGTTAAGGTGGTGGATATTTGCTAATTGCGATGGAATTATTAGCAACTTAGAAAATGTGTGACTGGCCATCTGCGCTGGTATGCACTACATATGTCAATGTCTGCCATTCAGTCAAGGTCGACTGAAAATTGACCATATTATATTCAGATTTCGAATTTCATTTAAAATGATTTGTACTGTAAGTTAGACTAGTATACGCGGAACATATAAACAGATTTTACTGCCTACTTAACATAGTTATATAATGAGTATTGACCTAGCTATTTGCGTTTACGTATTACGCCATGTATTGTAAACCAGTATACCATGAGTTTTCTAATATTGCCCTCAAATGAAGGAGAATGAACGTAAATATCTATTTGTAGTAGCCTATCGAGTTTTCTGTTCTAGCAATTCGACTCCCAGTGCCTGTGTACAACGAAACGTTTAATAAACTAGGGGAACTTGGATATTGTGTATTGAACTGCAGGTCCTTTCTCCTTGTTTACTTTCTACTTCGGACCCGTATATGTGGTACTTGCCACAAAGATGCTTGAACGAGTTAGTAATAAAGTGATGAGTAAAAATAGCATGATCTCTTTCAACGAAATAATACGTATATTTGTGACTCGATGGCCAATACCGAATAGTTCACTATTTCGAATACATTCGAAATTATTTTTTTCGAATATGAAATTTCGAATACTTCGAAATTAAAATTCACTAATTGAAGCTTATCTAAATACATATCCATACAATAAGCAATGGAATAACCGATATCTACAAGTTACAACCTGATTATATTACCAGGCATTTCATATTTGCAGATTATTGCAGTATATATTTTATATACCTTGAGTGATGTTTAACAGAATTAAATTAATACGGCAAAGTGGTATCGGTGATGGATTTGAATATTTGCGCAACACAAAATCATCCTAGTAAAACGCCCATACTTTTAAATACCAACCATTATCCAAATTATTTGCCAAAAAGCGGGATAAAGTATAGTTATTTTTCCGACTTGTGACAATTTTTTCGTGAGTACAAAAATTAATTATATTCGGAACTTACCACACATTTTAAGTCCGCAGATCGCCGTTGTATGTTTGAGTAATAATACTTTTATTATTTTATAAATATGAAAATAGGAATCAATAACTATTTATAATCGGGTAGTTTACCACACATTCTAAGTCCACAGATCGCCGTTGTATTTTGTAAATACGAAAATAGGAATCAAAAATTAATATTAATCGCGAGTTTGCCACACAATTTATGTCCACAGATTGCCGTGATATTGTGCCGAATATAATTAGTTTTTGATTCTTATTTTCGTACTCACGAAAAATTGTCAAGTCGGAAAAAAATTTATACTTTATCCCGCTTTGGGAACTAATTTGGATAATGGTTGCCATTGGTTTGTATTTAAAAGTATGGACTTTTTACTAGGATGATTTTGTGCTGCGTAAAATATTCGAATCCATGACGATACCACTATTTAAAATGCCTTACCGTGTTAATTTAATTCTATTATCATAACTCAAATGTTGGTAAATCGGGCAGTTTACCACACATTTTAAGGCCACAGATCGCCGTTGCATTTTAGAATTATAATAGTTTTATTATTTTGTAAATACGAATCCGAAATTAATATAATTGGCAGTTTACCACGTATTTCATGTCCACAAATACCCGTGGTATTTGGTATTAATATTTTCATTATTTTATCAATATGAAAATAGGAATCAATATTCAATAATATCGGTCAGTTTACCACACATTTTATGTCCACAGATTGTTCATACAACCACGAGTTACGTTGAACGGAATTAAATTAATACGACATGACATTTTAAATGCTGGTACCAGTCATGGATTGGATTATTTTACGCAACAAAAAATCATCCTGGTAAAGGATCGATACTTTTAACTATCGTTATCAAAATTATTTGCCAGAAATTATTTTCTAATAAATCGACTTGTAATTTATTGGATATCGTAACAATGAAGGCTATAAATACCGTATTTCCCAGCTAATAAGTCCACATGGCAAATAGGACGATGTCTATTTTTAGCACTCAAAAAAGGGGTTTTTCCATATAGGCCTCCAATAAGACTGGTAGAAAAATTGTGTCCCTGTGATATGCGCTAATAATTTTATATGTTTAGAACCAGATCATATTAGTTTGGTAGAATCATACTCACAGAATTAACTATTTTTAACAATTGAGCGGTAAATTTAAATTGTAAAGCGGCAATCATTTTGGACAACCTATTAACCCGAATGTTGAAATAATTTTGGAATGTGATAAGTACTACACTGTACGTCCACGGGTTATTTCACAGTTGTGTTTTCCTGTCCCTGTCGTGTTCTGCTGAATCGGCAAAACGAAAGGGTCACAAATCACTTTCACTCGGTGGCCATGTTTCTCTTTAAAGTAACGATAACCGGCCTGCGATTAAATATCATGATTGGAAGACCCTAAGACCCAAATATAAGGTTACACAAATCATGCTTGAGAAGACTAATAAGCAGGCCACATAGAAATAAAATAAACATACTTTCTCAATTAGAGGTCGAAATATTGGGCATAGAAAAGCGGTATTTGTCAATTTTTCGACGTAATGGAAATGAATTTGTAAATTAAAAGGCTTGTTGACGAATGTCGGCAATGTCCACCCACGCAAACGTGCAAATGTGTCGCAACACTATGCGACGTACGGTCGCACAGAATATAAACAATCAAAGTGCCGATTCTAATTCATCGTCATTACAATACGTGAGACAGCGTAAAGAGTCGTTTGAAGATTCCCGTAAAACGAAACACCACGTTTACGGCGAAAAGTGGCTACTATTCGTAATTATTCGAAAATCAGCCGAACAGGTATTCGAATATTCGATTCGTTTTGGACAACCCTGTTTGTGAGCTTTAGTTAGATCCTGGGCTGGTCTAACTTCTTCAATCAATAAAAGATATAACTGTAAATATAAAGATCATAAGAATTCAGTCTATGATTGAGTTTCCTTTAACTGACTTTAGATGCTATATGGCAGGGATGGCGAACCTTTTTCAATCAATGGGTCAAAAATTATATTTTTATCGTGGAACAGAAGAGCGTGGGTCACAGATATTAAATCCATGTCTGTATCTGTATCAGAAACTTCTGAAACAAATCTCATAAGCTGGTGTTGGTGTGGTTTTGGCTTTACTTTACTTTTTATATCACTCGATTTTTTGAAATTAGAGTACGAAAACACGCATATGAATTACCAAAAATGTTTAGGATGATACGGCAAATTATTTTACGGTTCCAAAGAGTTTGGATGAAATCCCAATCTGATTTAGTTAAATTGTTCGATCAGCTTTCAACCACATTAAAGCACTTTTACACTGCCCCATTGTTATTTCAGATTTCTAGGTTTTTATTTCAAGTCTGAAAGATTTTGTTTTCTCAACGGCATTGTTAGGCGAGAAACAATAAATTCAGAGTAGCATCTAGTTTTCGTATAAGCCCTAAAACAGTCTGCAGATGCACGTCCGAAGGAGACAAGCGTTACGAGAAATGAACAGACCATTTGGCATTGTTATTTCATAAACGAGGTCAGGGCCAATAGCTGAATAACGGTACACAGCGGTGCGGACATGCGTTCAAGATTGGGGGTATTGAAAATTACCACACCGGCCCGGAAATTAACAATTTGAATATGAGCGATGGCAGCCTTGACTGCCCAACTGACGGTACATTATATATATTAGTTTAATTATTGTTAGATTAATTTAGGACCGGTTTTATCAATTTTTATTACTGATATCACATTTTATTTTATTCGTGCCTTGGCGGGTCACGAATAAAACGCGGTGGGTCACAAAGTGATCGCGGGTCAGTGGTTCGCCATCCCTGCTATATGGGGATGGGACAATTTTGTCCGTATAATCTTGGAACTGCCGGTGTAACTGATGTGGTTGAGTTGGATTCGTCTATTAGTGCAGTTTCCTTTGTTTGTTTTTGAACCTTGTTTGTATTGTTGTTGTTTTTTGATAGTACTGTTTGTATTTTGGTTTTGTATTTGCATTAAGGCCCCTCTCCGTTTGATTTTTAATTTTTTCTATTAATTCGATGTGGTTGCCGAATTTTCATTTTGTTAATCCAATAATGCTATGCTATCCCTAAGGTGGTCTGAGGTAGGAGACTTCAATTTTCTACCGGTTTCTCCTATGTACTGTGCTTGTCTTTTTTTGCAGGTTATTAGGTATATTACATTTTTCGTGTTGCAGCTGATTCGTGTGAAGGATTGGAATTGTTTTCCGGTCAATGTGTTTTTGAATATTGTGGTTTTGGATGAAGTTTGCAGATCGTGCACCCTTTTCCG